CTCCCTATCTCGCCCGATCGCTATCTTTAAAAGAGGAGAAACCAGGCTGCCTGTATAAATAGCGTGAATAAATGAACGTGCCGGGAGCGTTCTTTTAAATGCAACTTTAATGCGCGGCGAAAGCATAACGACGGCGCAAAACACGAGATGAATAGTGCTCGTTCGCGGAAACAACACGCGCGTTTCGCCGAGGCTTCGCGGAGGATAACCGGATGTCTCGATCAATGTTTTTTTTTTCTCCACCGCGATCTCACTTTTCCACCTTTCTCATATCGCCCGACCATCGTCTACGGTATAATTAAGCGAATAAAAAAAGAAAAATTTGTTAGCACGATTAATAGAAAGCCGATCGAACCGAGAAACCAGGTGAAAGATACACGCGTCTGAGACACACACGAGTAACGTTTCTTTTTCTACCCGGTAATTCGATCGTCAACTGAACTTTCGAGCGGAATCCACGAAAATCGGCGCGGCAAGCTTCTCACGACGCGTCAAATAAACTACGATTAATACATCCTTCACAACCGTGCCGTTACCCCCTTCTCGCTCACGAACCGCCGGAAGAACGAGGAAATCGCTAACGAGTTGCATAAACGAGCCATGATGCATCATCGGTCGGACGGCATTATTGAGCGCAAAACAAAATCGACCGCGACGCACCACGACGACGAGGAAGAGGAGGACGACGAGCAGCATGGAAATCAACATGAATATGGATGAGCGTTGCATATGTGTGGATACTTTGCGCTCGCGTTCGCAGCCGAGCATAATATTCGACTTCGGTGAGCGAAAGGGAGCGGCGGGGGTGGGAGGGAGGGGTGGAGGGATGAACTGGCAGGTGAACCGCGCGAGATTATTGGCCGGGACCGACGAGAGCTTGGAGTTGGCTTCGAAATTCGACGTTTGACGTCAGTATGAGAAACGCGTCTGCTAATGCACGCGCGTCGCGCCGTCCGCGAGATCCTCGAAATAGAATGATTAACGCCGTCGAACCATGGCGCTGTAAATTCGACACCCGGTGGCACACAGGGCGCGGCGTCCCGGTCACCGGGGACGCGCGGTTTGCCTAAATTGTTAGACACCTCGTGTACAAACGCCCTCGTTGCCGTCGCCGCCGGACCCGCGGAGAGGGATATGCAAAGCGGACGCGCCGACAGGAAAGGTTGGAAAGCCGGAACTCGCGCGCGCGCGCATCGACAGACAGATAGACGTGCATAGATAACCGCATGGGTAAATAGAGAGTTTCCCCCCTACGATCTTTCCTCGCAAACGAAGCGTGTACGTTTGTGTTAAGCGGTGTCTGCAATGGGAATTTCACGCGTAAGACTAGAGTCTCGAGCCGTAAGAAACTGGCCTATCGTAGTCATAATGTGAGACTAATAATCGATCGTGATCCTACCGATTATTAAGACTCAAGGCTTCCAGTCTTTCGTCTTAAATTCTCATCATAGACGCCGTAAAATTTACGCGAATAAAATTCATCGCGCGAAAAATTCAACACGAAAACGCGACGCTCACTGGAATTTTCTGACACGTCGGCGGAATGTTCGCGAAAACTATAAAATTCACGGCGCACGCGTGAAATATACATCGTCGAAGTTTCGCTATCGTTGTCGGAGTAGCAACGAGAGACGATTAAACGACGGCTAGTAGAGCGCGAACTCGACACTTACTACTATGCACAAGCGCGCACACGTGTATTCACACACACATAGCAGACTCGACCCGTATACAAGCCATGCTAATTTGTACACCGAGCGAAGACTATTCGCCGACGATGACCTATTAATAGCGTTCGGGTGTAGCCGCTTCAACAGGATCGTCCCTTATTATACTTGATATATAAATCGAGTTAAGCTTTGTGTCGGCCAACACCACAATGCGGCCCGAATCCGACTATATAACACAACCGCGCCTTGAGATTGAATAATCTCCGTGGAAAATGACGCGTTCATTGAAATTAATTCCGTAATTCCCGGGGAAGTGTCAGCGAGACAAGCGACGCTCTAAACTTCAACGGCACCAGAATAATAAGAATTAACTCGAAGAAGAAGTAACTTGTTGGAATTATCCGAGTCAACTTCGCGACATTGGAACGCTACTTCTTACATTCCGAGCAACATTGTTTCTCGATAGTACCAATTAATGCCCGCTGAACGATACCCGGCGTCGAGGAGGGATAATTCAGTCTCATTAAAGCGATTATTAACGGCATCTCCTTGTCCGGCGCGACACAACGCGAGCGTCCATCTTTCCGCAAGGACGAAAACTGAAATTGATCGCCGCGTACGGATGCGTTTCTGCGACTGACGATTTAATTATTTCCATAAGGCGAGCATCTAACGAGCTTCTGCAATGTGCATTCCCGTCCGTTAGCTCTACCGTCCGTCCAACCCATCCATCCATCCTCCGTCCGTCCGTCCGGTAGGCCAAGCTTAAAATTAGACCATGAAACGGACAAGCCGGAAGCTTGGCCGAGCGGACGAACTAGGTAGCACCAAATTTATTTCGCGCAAGTGCGAATTCCACCCGGTGAATTCATTCATTCGGCCGGCCGACTCGCAAGCGACGTACATCGGCGATTTGCAAAGCTGCCGCAAAAATGTCGACACCGGCGGTCATCGACCCGGCGGGCACGGCCAAAGGAAGAACAAACGTCGCCGGCACTTTTCCCCGGCGGACGACAAGTCCGGCCTGTTTGTTCCGGCGATCAAAGTTGCGCGTCGGCCGGCAGAGAGGATATTGTTCGTCCCGCGCGGTTGTGCATTCTCGTTCCGGAATTGCGGCCATCGCCGCGCCTGCTTCGTTACAGCCACTTTGTCCGAGTGCGCTTGATTAATATCGCATATAATATTATGTTGCGTTTCGAACGAATGTAACGACGAAGGCTGGCGCGCGCACGCTGCAGGTATCACGTTTGCAAGAATCCCCCGCCGTTCGTCGGGAAATTTTAGAGTACGCTCGCGGCGTATTCGCCATGATTCGCGCGCCATATCCACTATCCATAATTAATTAATCCCTGATCTGAAATAGAAGCCGACGAGGAAGCGCTGTATCGCGCGCGCTGTTTACGCGCAAACTGTTATTCAGCCGACGGGCGTTGGCAATTCCGCGACGACAATTTCGAAAACGACAATTTCGACGAGAGTTTCGACCGCGAGAGAAATAAAATTCGCCGCCGCCGCCGCCGAGATAGACGACACACGGGACTCCGAGTGACTGTTAAAGGGTTAACAGTCAACCTATAACGCATTCGCCCGCGCTACGATGTCGTAAGCGGAGCGTCGTAAAAGAAAATCGCGCCTGTGTGAGAGAACGTGCCAAAGCTGACATCAGGCTAGTCGCCGTTGAACAGGGGTAGTAATTAGCGAGGGAGCACAGTCTTTAAACCCGCAGCCATTTAGGTCGCCGTCGTCGTCGCTGCGGGCACCGTAACAATGGAAAGAGAGCAGAAAGCTCGTTAAATTATCCACCGTGGCGGCCAAGCGCAATGTTGTGTTTCGCGAATCCCGACAATGCGATGCAATGCAGTCGGTTCGAATTACAGACGCGGTCCCCCCCCCGAATCTCCAGCGACTTTTGAACGGGCGGAACACGCGTCGAATGTACCTTCGTCTCTGGCGCAGCAAATCACACGGATGCACTCGACAGAGAGAGAGAGAGAGTGAGCGGTGACACGATCGACTTGCGCAAACACCGCAAAACCACCGAGTGATATTATTCGCGTTCGCATCTCCGTCGGGCTTCTCCGCCGACTAAGGACCGATTCATTCGGCGCCCGCGTCAACTACCCTATTTCACAGCATTAGGTTAACCCTTTGCGGTCTACCCGACTCGACATAGTGGTTTATGACGATCGTGCATGTACCGTCGGGCGCACCGAAAGCCGCGAGGAGAAAGGGCGGACGGGTGGGTAGGTGGATCTATACATACACACACAGGGGCATACATATCAGTATCATTATGATCGCGAGGAGATACACGACGAGGTAACGTTGCCGCGAGATAGAATACGGCGATGCGTGATTTTTAACCTCCCTGGGCCATTCGTTTTCGTTGCACGGCATTCCAGCAGCAGCTCCGGACATCAGCTCGCGGCGGTACGCAATGGGAATGAGAAACGGGGATGCGGCGGGGAGAGACCGGGGGGAGGGAGAAGAGGATACGAAAAGCGGGATACGCGAGAGATAAGTAATAACGTTGCTGCAGGTGGAATGCAGCGATCGAAGGCGAAACGCCGCGATTGGGAAGACTTCGACTCCGGCTGACCCCTCTCGCGAACGAGGAGAAAGAGGAGGATAACGCGCGTGAGCGACGTAAATTTACGAGTAAACAAGGGGGGGAGAGAGAGCGGCTCGCGATTTTATTTCTCTCGCGGAATGGCGGCCACGCGCGACGTCTCCCCCCTTTGGAAGCGGAGAGGAACGACGAGCGCTTAATTTACCTTCGTTTAATTCGACATCGCCGCGCGGTCGTAGATTTGAGAGCCGCTGGCCGCGAGAGGCAGGGCCGGCGGAGATCCGTGCGAAGGATGAAGGAAGGCGCAATAACAATATCGTCCTGCCCTTGCCACACGCGAGCAGGGAGTAACGTCCTGTTACACCAGTCTGACCACTTTGCGCGTCCCTCTTTCCTGAACCCTTCGTCTCTCGCGCGCGCAGAGACCGTTTTATTATACTTTGCACCGGCCGCGCTTTCGCCTTCGCCGCGGCGAAAACGCCGTCCGTGCGACCCGCTTTTCGTAATCACAATCTCATTCAGCGCACGTTTGTCCCCGACGCGTCTAATGTGATGAGGTAATGCTGCGCGCCTCTCTCTCTCTCTCTCTCTCTGCGAGAAAGAGAGGAAAACGGGGGAAAACGGATCGGTCGATTTTCCGCGTGTTTCTTTAGCTCGATGTTGCTCGAAGTCGCTTGAGTGTTCTGAACGGACGCGCTCGTGCGGTAAAAAAGTTGCAAAAGCAATAATTAAAACTAACGTAGTCGTCAAGTGTCACTCACCGATAATGGTGTTCAGCCTCGCAGCCGCCGCGATAAGTCAGCAACGAGACCTGCGCAATCAAGACAAAAGCGGTTTAGCTCTCGCCTAAGCTACGCGTACGAGTTTCTGTTTATGTGTGCCGTTAAATAGCGCGCATCTCGAATTAATATTTTGTAATAGCTCGGTGTGTCTTTTCGACTTCGGCGTTGATTAGAGGCGGTACCCTCCCGACTCGCACGCTGGCGGAGTTTCAGACAGTCCTCGTGAGATGTTTCGTTATAATAACGACGGAATTTCCTGCCACGTGCGCTAATAACGAGTGAGTCGTCCGAGTGCGCGAGAAATAACGCGCATCGGGAAGTCCTATCGATCTACCTCGCTATCTACTGGCGTCATCGAAACGCTAGGCGTATTCTTCGGGCGCGATAAGCATCGAGAGAAGCGCCGCGCTGGAATAAATGGCGCTACTGTTCGAGTGATATTTACGTGGCCCAAGTAAAATGGTTACTCCGATACTTTCAGACAAATATTTCATGAAAATTGAAATAGAATTGACTGTAGACACAATATGAAACTTTATTTGCACAAGCTGACATTTACTCGTATGCAATTCTTCTCAGCAACTCAACAATATAATAACTTGTCAGCAACTCAACGATATATCTTCTTTTAGTTTTAATTCCAAAAATAATAGAATCAATATGCATATAAGATTGTTATCATGAACACTGTAATATTATAACATTTACTTAAAAAAAAAAAAAATGGTTCTTCTAATTAATTAATTTCTTCACGACGTTTCTTACACGATCATCGTTACAAATATAACAAAATTCTCTTCTCAGTGTACATTGAACTTTTTTTTCTCGGCAGACAATAACATGAGATTGTTCCAACGAGACGAGATCGCGTCTCGCAACGCGACCGATATACATGCCCGTATTCTCACGCGAACGAGAGACGCGATAAAAAGGAAAAAAAGCACAAAAGAAACCGCGCGCATATATCTCATGTCCGAGTCGTGTGCGTCGTCGTAAAACTGCGCGGATATATCGCGGATTATCGCGGTCACGTTTACGCGAAATTGTTATAATTGCGACGAGTCCGCGAACTAGTAATCGTCGCAGACAGATGAGACCCGACTTCATAAGCGGGATGTAAACCTGACGTATTCTGAAAGGAACATTGCGAAAAGCCGTCGAGAGGAGAGCGAGAGGAAGAGAGAGACCGATAAATCGCGACGAAACCAGGCGAGTATCTCACGCACGTATCCGCGCGAGGTCACCGCCGCGGCTCGCCACGAGGTTTCGCCGTCGATAAAGCTGTCCTTGTTAAATCCTCGGTTGCTCAAGCTTTGCATTCGTTACACGACGCGTTCGCGGGGCGACGAGAGCTTTTGCGCGCGCTCGACGAGCGAATTCCGAGCGCGTAGGCCTATCCCGAGAGAAAATTGTCTTCGGTATTCACGACTATAATCGCACGGTTGCAATAATTACAGTCAAGGACGCCATTTTTATGGCAAGCATTGCTCCAACGTTGTTGATGATAAACTTTACATGCATATCGCTACACGGAGAAGAAAGATTGGTTGAATTCACGCGACAAATTTGGTTTTCCGAACCCAAGATTTAGATCTCTAGGAACGAAAATGAAAAATGTTTTGTTTCAGAGAATTAAACCTTGGGTTGAAAGAACCAAATTTGGGTTCTCACAACCAAAAGATTTGTTTGAGCATATCCCAATCGAATTTCGTTTCAGTTTGAGAGAACTAAATGAATTTTTCAGTAAATATTTTACTCGAATTAAGTAAATATCACTTGATCCAAGTGAAACTTTGTTTAGGAAGGAATATTAGAGTAATTATTTACTTGGATCTAGCACGTTTCTCTGTGTGCCATCAGCAACGCCGGATAAAGTGAATTTGGGTTCTTAGGACGAGGAATTTCTTGCGAAAACAAAAACGCGTTTCGTTCTCATTGCCACGTTAATTACACGAATCCGTTTTCCCCGTGTCGCGTTATTCTTCGGCTGGAGCGACAAACAGGCATGGTCGGAAATGACTGTAATTTGAGATTAGCGTCTTTCTATTTTTCCTGTCAACGCGTCTCGACGAAGCTGGCGGATGAGTATCGAGCGGCGGTGTCGTCCACGGCGCGAAGCGGACCGTTATTTAAATCCATCCACCTGCGAGGCGGCTGATTTCGCCGATCGACCGCGTTGCTACGCGAGCGCGCTATAATCTCCAGAGTCGGTCGAGTAAGGCCAAAACCTTGAGAAGCACAATATCCCGATCACTGTCACCAGATGCAGATACGAGAGAGAGAGAGAGAGCGAACTTCACTCGTCGGCACGGCCGCACCGCTCGCGCACGATCGCGACTCACTCAAGGCTGAAAATTCCAGACGCTCCGGGGATAGGTCAGGGACAATGAAACGTGCCAAACGCGGCTGCTGCTGCACCCGGGGTTCATTCAACTCCACCACGAGGTGGCTTTTTCGCACGATAAACGCGCATCGTCGCCGAAGGGGTCCGACGACCTTCCGGTTCTCGTTTCGTAACAGCAACGGGACGAACCTGACGAAGGAGAGCGCGCGTCCTGCGACCGAGCCTCCTGCCGGATCAGATCGTCGACGGCAACCGGAGGAGAAAGAGATTCCACGACCACTGTTTTACTATTAAAACTCGGCACCGCGTCTCTGCCTTGGTGGAAGAAATTTCGCGCGAATGGACCCTCACGTGCAGGCACGGTTGCGCCAGAACTGACACTAGGCCGCTAACACGAGTAAAACTTCGCGAAGTGGCGAGGCTCGTTCCTCTCCGAGACTCGTCCACCTCTTCCACCTCGCGAGGAGATGCGAGAGCCTGGTGGGGCGAATCGCTCGCGGAGGGAGATCGTCGAGGGGCAGTGAGAGGAAGGAGAAGTATGCGCGTGTACCAACCAACATGTGTGTGTGTATAAATATATGTACACACGTACATATATATGTAGGTATGTATGTGCGGGCGGGCGAGCGAGTAAGCCGCAACGTGCGCCGGAGTAATGCGGATGCATTGCTAGCGGAGAAACAGAGGAGGAGGATGCGGAGCGCGAGAGTGAGTGAGAGAGAAGGAAAGGAGAGTCAATGAACGACTCCGAGAGATCGCCACGCGATGAAAATTTCACGGTTGCAGAGGCGGAGAGCATGCCGCGGTGATGCACGGGTCATCTGTGACGAGAACCAGGTCGGTAGATTTCCCGATAGAGGAGTACACGAGCGCCGTGTTCTCGAGGCTCTCTTGCTCGCACACGCCGATCGCGTCTCTTACGTAAGCGTCGCGGGAGACCGCTCTCGAGATTTTAGCGGCTCGAGGAGAGGAACACCGCGATGAAATTGGGAGACGCGACGAGTATAGAACGATCGAGAGAGAAAATCGAAGTAAAGCGATAATTGACAGGCCGGGTTGAACTTTTCGTCGGAGAAGCGAATCGACGAACGAATCACGGGTGAAGGCTCGACGAAGAGGTTATGTCTACGATTTCGCAAGGATGTGCGCGTACCTGTAGGCAGTAGCGATGGTTCATGCTGGGTAATCCTGACTCCTCTCGGAATAACGAGCAATGACGACGGTTCTCGAGGCTCAAACAGCAGCGAACACGCGCGCGAGAACCGAACTACTCGCACGCACAACGCTCGACAGAGTCGATTCTCGTTTGGGGCGCGATAAACGGCAACTTCAGACGGCACACACTCTCGCACATACCTGTCGTTTCTCGCTTCACGGCGTATCGCCGAGGGCAACCTGCGGCCGCCCGTCCCACTGTGCTCAACGACGGCGACGACGGGGCGGGTGACGGGAATGACGATAATGACGCCAGAGCAGCACGACCAGGTAAGTGGAAACGACCCCGACGGCGAAGGACGTCGCGAGGAAGTGCGGCACCGCGGTTGAGACGTGTAGCTGCACGCGTGAAACGGCTAGCCCGATGAGTGACATGCGTGTGCTCGCGCGTGTGACGTGGCGTGTGTGCGGAAGTATATCGATCAGCTGACGGTCGGGCGGATACTGGGCCGCTTCGCGGAATTCACCATATTGTTGCGTCGGAACGCATGCGCCGAGCCCTCGTCCCTTCGTTCTGTCGTCCCCCCCGGCTTCTCTTTTCTTCCCTTACTTTCTCCCCCTCCCGCACCCTCCGCCACCCCCGCGATTTCGTCCGTCGCACGTACAGGGTGATTCAGCGGGAACCCGATATTTCTAGGACGCGAAGGGAGGGGGGCTCGAAAAATATATCCCGCGAGCTTCCGCGGACTAGAATCGATTGGCTGGGCGAGAGAGCAATTCTAATTCAACAAATAGGCGACACCGCATCGCGAGATGGACCGAGTCATTTATAGAGGCAGAATCGCGCGATCTCGACGAACAGGGTGGCGGTGGACAACCCCCTGCCGATCTTTTTAATAACGCGATTTGCGCGCGACAATTTTTTTCTTCAGCCGCAAATCCCGCGACGGGTTACGACGGACGCGCGCGTGTCGCTGATTTCGTACATCCCCCCTCTCTTCCCCTCCGTTATTCGCCAACCCGACGACCATCCTCTCGTTCTTCTTTCTATTTCCCAGGCGGATACGCTGGCTGTTTCTTCGCTTCGATATATTGCTGCTCGATATGCTAATAGCTCGGTCCTACTTTATCATACCGTCTAAATTACATTATCGTGTATATACATTTATCCATTTCCTCGCCCGTTCTTTCCTCTACCTCATCTATCCTTCGAATATCCTTCACGAACGGCGTTGTCCCGCGTCGTGTACTCACCGCTGGGTAACAGCACCGACTTTCTCCGATTTCTCGATTTCCGCGTTTTCCATTTTCATCTCTCGCAGTCATTTCCGTAATTTCGAGAGACCCTTAGCCGCGGCACGGGCCGACGACACACGTGTTTTCCTTCCGCGTGAGCGCGGAATATTAAACGAGGAGTCGCTGTGCTTTTCTGGAAATTGTTCCGCTCGTGCCAACGCACGAGTTCAATACTTACGGGGAGAAGGAACTCTTCGGTCAACCTGCGACACTTTTCGCGAATCGTTCTCTCGACAACGACGGCAAATAATTCGCGTTACGTCCTCTCGAAGAGACATTTCGCCGCGCTTGTGCCTGCGCGATCAAATGATGAGCGGATAACGGCCGCAAAACTGATTAATGTTCGGCAAACACGTGTAGCAAACCGCGGCGTTCGATTCCCTTTCTTTTCGTGCTTAAATTACGCCCGTCCGTTTCCCATTAGCGCGCCCCGTTGAGATATTAACGAACCGTAAAGAATGCGAGAGGTACTTGTTGGAGTAGCGATAACCAAATGCAACGAGATTAGCGGAACTAAAGGAGAGAGAAAGAAAGAGGGAGAAGACACGACATCGCGTATGGAAGAATTCTGGAAAACTGACGGGTCCGTCAAACCGTTTTCCGAGCGTCGAAACTCGTAAACTGTAAACCGTCCTCGGGGGAAAATCGGACCGGTTGCGGTAACACGGACATTGTCAAGAAACGAGATCAAGTTCGACGGAGATGCCAGCGCGAGGCGATCGGCTCGTGCTGGAACACGCGAAATAATTGCTGGTATCAATGTCGGCGTGTAATTGTCGGTTATCGCAATAACCGACAGCTTGGCGCGCGAGTAAAATAATGATCGCAACCGTTGTTGCGACGGAGGGCCGTGTGTATCCGACGCAGGTGGAAAGATTGAAGGAAGAAACGACGAGATAAAGACGAGAAATGAAATAAAATTACGCTCAGATAAAGAAAGAGAGAGAGGAAAGAGGAACGGGAAGGACACAGGTGAAAGAAAGACACGATGAACTGTGTGATTTCACGGCTTAGGCGCGCGAGGATTCACAGTCACGCTTCGTGATTTCGCTTCTTGATCCGCGCGAGAAAAAGAAACGGAAAGCTTGGATTTTCGCTCTCGCGCGCCGAAACTGGTTATTCACGAGAACGTCGCAGCGGTTTGCGTTGACCTCGGCGCATCAAGATCTACTACGGCTGTAGTTAACGGTACGCGTTAATTGAATCCCCCGACGCGCCGGAGAGATCGACACTGCGTGGAAATGAAAAATGCCGGGGAAAGCTGCCTTTCGGGATATGCTGCGGTGCTTTTGCGCCTCAGCGCCACGCTCCCTTTCTCGCGTTCCTGTGCGGGCTTGATTCCCGCATTTTCCTGCGGGAACGCGCGTCGGGAACGTTGAGAGCCGATATCGTTATCGTTAACGTAACAGTCGTTCTCCAGATTGCTATCCGGCCGTGTTTGAGCAACAGCATTAAACCGAGAGCGTCAGAGAGAAAGAGATCTTGTGCGCTCGCGTGCGCAATCATTAGCGCTTGGATATACAATTTTAACGACACCTCACTCACACCGGTTTCATTAGCCGTCGCCAACTGATGTAATTAAAAGCGTCGGTGCGCACGGTCACCTTTCACCGCGTTTAGAGAGAAGCGTCGTCGTCGCGCGTCGATCGTCATCGTAATCTCGCGAGGCTCACGCGAGTATAAATAGCGAGATCCTAATTGAATGCAAACGGACAGAAACAGTTATCTCTCGTCGCACGTTTTCTCCGATCCTCCCCCGTCTTATCTGAATGCCAGCCGCGAGAATTGCGAGCGCGGACGTGGATGCGAGTACAACGGAGAATATCTTATCGTTGCGCGATCGGGCGGACGTGTCTCGAAACGCCCGAAACTTCGCACGGTGACGACGGAAAAACGGCGGGAAAAGACGCGGGGAAAATTGCGCAGAAACGCCTTTCCCGGAATACCAAGGTGGAACAATGGCGATCTCTTATCGGGAATCTCTGCGTACAACAGTGTAGAGAGAGAGAGAGCGTTCACGAAACCGGTTTGTAATTAGCAATTAAAAAAGTATCCCATTAACATGATAATCGCACGAACGGTACTCGCTGCTGCCACCCTTGAAATTGACACGCGGTGCCGTTCGCGCTCCTCTCGGGAACCCGCCGATTCAGTTGTGCGTAATTCATACGTGACGCGCGAGAGAGTGAATTACTCCGACGTAATAAATGAATTATGTCGATCGTACGACGATCGCGCTTATTCGGGCAAAGCTTGGCGTCGCGACACGCCAAACTCTCCCGCCGAGCTTACGGCGAGCCCGGCCGTTCTCTCCCTTTCTCTAATTCAGAGAGTAAATAAATTCGTCAACTCACCTTGACACAGCAGTAAATTACTCTACGATCGATGCCAGCTCTCCGTTGGTCTGAAACACAAAACGGGACCGAAATTACGGCGGGCTCTCTCTCTGCCACGGTTATAAACACGCCGAACTCGTTTTCGAGGCGCGCGTGCTAAGTGAAAATTGCGATATCCGCGCATCGTACGGCGAAACAACGTTTGTTTACACGTCATACCCCCCATGGCTCGCGCTCTGACGTCCGCGCGAAACCTTATCGATCAGGATGTATCCTCGATGTGGGACACACACAGACTATCGGCGGCCTTGTGCGCGCCTTATTGCAAAATACAACGCGCGCAATTCGCGCGAGAGTCTCGCCGTGAAAACACGAAGCGGAAAGCCGAGGAATCTCGGAAACGAAAAAAAGATCAGAGCGCGGTCGGGAGAACTGTTACCTTTGTATCTTATCGCTAGAATACAAGCTTACACAATTTTCGAGAGTCGGCGATCGCGCCTTTTAAAATCAAACACGGTCGAAGAGTCTCGATAACAAAAATGATAACGAAAATCGGAGCGCGCGGCCGAAAAAATGTTTCCACGGCGTGGAAGAAACCGCGAAGCCGGCTATATCCCGGCGGATGATTCATCGTCGAATTCTAGTTTAATTCGTCGCTTAATTGCGAGACAGGCAAAAACTTATAGAATCCCCTCCCCCGCTACGTGTGGCAGTTTTTTTCTTTTTCCCCGAGACGCGGATGAAGCCACTCGGCGCCGAAACAACGGCTCGTCTATACAGATAGGAGGTAGCTACACAATGGCGTGCGATAATGAAATAACTTAATTTCGCTCCGGGGCAAACACATAGATCAAGTGAGGGGGGGATGGCAGTGACAGTGGTGACTGCCGTTGGAGTTGGTAGCGGAGGTGGTATGCTGGGTGACGACGGTAGTAGTGGTGGTGGTCGAAAGCGAGCGAGTCCGATGCAAAATACGCGCTCGACCGACGAGAGAAGCGCGTTAAACCTCCGAGTACACTGTAATTCACTTTGTTAGCCCGCGATCTCTTACGAGGCGCGGTACTCCGGTACAGGATGTATCCTCCTCAACTGGGTCGCGAATGCGCCAAGCCGATTGGTCCGGCCGAAAATCAAATAAATCTCTACGATGAAAATTCGAAGGGAGGGAGAAAGAAAGAGAGAGGGGGTCCGTTACGTTGCATAGCGAGCGGGCAAATGTTAACGCTTTCCGGATCCTTAAAATACATCCCCGTCCTGATTTGGGTTCGAACGAAGCTAGGAGGATATCGATCTTTCCGAATACAGTTCGATGGCGAGGTCTCTAGCGTTCGACGAGCGAATCAATAGCGTAGGTTGACGGAGAAGCGATGAAAGAATGAGATAGTCGATAGGATGAAATAATGCACGAAACTGACGCCGGTCGTTATGCAACGAGATCGATCGGACTTTCGTTGGGTAGGCTACTATGCCTTGTTACGGAGACGCTAGAAAGGTGATTTTGAACGGATTCCGAAGCAAACGAGAGTAACTTTTCCTTCTTGCGCAAAACGGGCACAGTGCGGTGCTCGGGAAGGTTCGTCGAATGGTGGTGATCGAAGGGAAATCCGTTCGGTCAGATCGTGGGAGCACGAAGCGAGTGGCTGAGCGAAACGTCAAAAGTGCATGTTACAGTCCAGAGTGTGGTGTGCACGGTCGCCATGTCGGACGACTTTAAAGCTGATTGTAAAAAGGTCATCTTACACGATTGAGCGACTCGATGGCGATAATCGCGGGACAGAGACACAAAATCCGAATCTATATCCCGTTGGTCGCGACGAAGAAGAAGAGCGGAGCGGCCGGCGACGAAGTCGACGAGGTTGAAGACGAGGAAGAACGGGCACTTGGCACCGCAGCGGCAGGCCGATGTTCTCCACTTGATGTGTCCACGTCCATTTGTGGGTCCCGATGGCCTCGAACTGGTCTCTTATCCCCGGTATCGCCCAATCAAAAAACCGGCAGCGTACCGCCAGCCGATTGGTCGAGTACGGCCACCGTGAAGACTGCAATTGGTCAACCGGCCCGAGTCACCCATGGTTACCGTTTGCATCAACAACATCTACGGTCGATATTCGCGGCTTTACTACCTGGTCCCGCGTACTACTCCTCCACGTCTCGCACACACGTCGCGATTAACACCTACATAACCCCCCAGGGTGGTATTCTCGAGGTGAGGGCAACCGCTTTTCTTCCATCGCCGACCCCGCCGCCGCTCTATGGCGGTACACCCCCTCGCCCCGAAGGGCTTCGGGGAAAGTCGAGCCAACGGCGACTAAGGGTCGCCGCGAAAAGCTGGTACCCCAGTAGCTGGCGTGGCTCCAACGCACCTCTCCTCAACGATGATTTTCCGATCCTCGCGATCCCTCCTTATCGCGACGGGTGCTCGCGCAATACCGCCGGCTGTATTTGCGCAAGGATAATCTTGGCAATTAAATCGAAGACTGAGAGAGCCGCAGGATCCTGCCGGAAACGCGGTATCCTGTTTTCAGTAGTTAAATCAGTTGTAACATGTAAACACCTAAAAAATTATTATATAATCATTTCTTCCTCAATTGACGGTCGGACGGTAAGAATATGTTTTCGTCGTTGCACATTGCTGCTATCCAGCGCGCGATTTTGCGCGTACACACTGAATCTCAGTTCCAAAGTGTCGCATAAACGACTCCGTCTTCGAAGTCTAATTGCCACTTTAGCGATTGTTGGGTTAATGGTATTAGCTTCGGCTCTGGCTACATCCCAGAATTCACTGTCAGCGCTTCGAAGGATAGATAGAGAGAGCGTAGTTCTGTCTTATTTTGAATTAAGCTGCGTGACGGAGACGCAACGATGCTGTTAGCGCTAATTGCTAATTTCGCAACGTACGCCGCAAGCCCGTATAAATACCCGATTGCATTTTCTCATAACGAGCGAAATGCAATTCGGTGCGTTGCGCGCATTTCCATCTCATATTGAATAGATCTGGCAGGGAACGACTATGCGGAGATGTAACGACTCTGATCGCGAGTCATGTTATTTTTGCCACCGCGTAGCATCGCAAGTTAATTGCGCCCCGGTGTATATTCCCCGAGCGTCGGATGGATCGTCGCTACGAGAGAGAAAGAGAGAGAGCGGAGTCAAGTGTTTCACGGATAAATCAACTGCAACAACGGGGCGTTAATGGCTCGTAATGGCCGTTTGAACGGGAGCGCGAAATGATACGACGTGTGAGAAAAAGATCCTATTACCGGAGCCGCGAGTTGAATATGGAAGCGAACAGATGTTATTAGGCGACTTCGGCGGTTCTCAGATAGGCGAGAACATTTGTCACGTGGAGTGTCGGCGGGGAACGTCCCATCGGAATCCACTTCCGGAGACTCGGAAGAAGCGGTTATCGAAGCCGCGGTATTATTCGCAACTTTCGAGAGGAACCAGAACGCTCGCCGAGTGAGGACAGGGAACTCGCGGCGGGTATGTCCCCGTTCAACGTTCGATTATCCGTGTTATCGATCGCGCGTTACTCTCGTATATTCGGCGACGTACGACGAAATAAGCAGCGCCGATGTTCCAGCCGTTCAACGGCTGCGGTTCGTACGCGATACACGCCGGTTTTGTCAGAAAAACAAATATAAATGTTTTTCAGAGAAACATAATCTATTATTTCGACGAATCTTTTTTCCCAATAATTTGATATTTTGATATATGCCGCGATTTTTGTTCAATTCGATTGCAGTTTGCGCCACACAATTTGCGCAACTCCGCGACTTGGTTCTATTCACCTGACTCTTTTTCACATGCGCATACTCCGATAAAGTAATAAAAATATTTATTCAGACAATGGAAAAAAATCCCAAACTTCTCCGGATAGGAAAAATCGCTTTGGAATTTTAGGTTTCCACGTTATTTATTTATTTCATCCTTTTTACGGGAGAGTAGATCTCTTTGGTATGTAACATTATTGACAATATAATAGCAGATGATACACAAAGGAATAGTGAAAATAAGCTACTATACAAAATTAGACAAAAAAAGAAAGAGAAAATCTAAGCTATACTGAATAAAAAAAAAGACACTCTGACAATCTCGCTATCGTCAAGGTCACCGATGACCATGTCTGACTTTGACGAAAAGAAAAAAAAAGTTTCATTGAAATATTAATTCTTCGCGACGACAGTCGATCACAGTTCGTCGAAATCAAACTTTCGCAAAGTTTCGTCCAAATCAACGTCTCCTCGATGAGCCGAAGTGAACATCGGTCAACGGTCGACGAAGAGTTACCAAAAGACAACCAGGCCAGGGAGGGGATAATTAGATATTCGTACAAGCAATCGCGCCATAAAATCGATACCAAAATACAAAAGCGGCGCACGATCGTCGCGGAAGAAAGGCGACGTGTAATAAATAATTCAGAAATTAGATAATATCGTGCACGCTGCCCATTCCGCGGAAACTGGTTCGATTGGTTCGCCTTGTTTTTAAGAGGAAACCGTATTACCCGACACGCCAACCCTGTTGTCCTGTACAATGCGAACGGAACTCGCTCGCCAATACCGCTTGTCAATTAAGCCCACACGGATCGGCCGACCTAATAAAATATGACAAATGCCTACCAATCTGAAAGCAAGAATGTCTGGAGGAATGTCTTAGTGCATCCTAAAATAGTGCCAATTCCCAGACGTCCCATTTTTGCATCGATTTGGGAAGCCATCGAGCGAATGAAGCTCGAATAAATTTGGGAAGTGCGCGAAACCGTCACCCACGCGTATCCCCGGAGTTTATATTGTAGTCAGTCAAGTTGATGCGACAGTCTTTTCTCGTGGAATGCACACTTCACTCGTCTCGGTATATTTCTTTCGAAAGAAATCCCCACCGACACTTGCTCGCTGGTAAAAGGCTCTTGTGAACCGGCCTAATATTATTTTGCGTATGCTTAATATATCGGCGTTCACGCAAGCGGTAATCCACTCGAAGGTTCAATCAATCCCCCGTTCCAGAAATAAGCTGCACATGTGAGGCATCAAAGGTAACGATATTATTAGCCCGCCGACTCTTATCG